TACATAAATGTAATTTCAACGGCAGTACAATTACGTTTAATTAACTATCATTGACAGTATAATTACGTTAATTTCCTGTCAGTGACAGCACAATTTCGGTCAACGTTTAGCGGCGGACGTGGAAAAACAAAACAAACCAAACAAAACAAAAAACTTAAAAAAACACTAAAAAAAGAGACCGCCGGAAACCGGCGAAAAAATCCGGCGGAAAAAAAAATCCGGAAGAAGAAAAAAAAAAAAAAAAAAAGTCAACGCCGGAGACCGGCGTTGACCGCCGGTCAACGCTGGAAACCGGCGAAAAAATCCGGAAGAAAGAAAAAAAAAAAAAAAAAAAAAATTAAAAAAGTCAACGCCGGAGACCGGCGGCAAAAAAAAAGTTTTTGAAAAAAAAAATATTTTTTGAAAAAAAAAATTTTGGGTCAAAATTTAATAATTTGTGAAATTGGGGGTCAAATTGAGATTAAATTAAGTTAAGGATGAAATTGGAGCATATTAAATTATACTCCAAAAAAAAGTCAAAATTGAATTTTTGTGGTCAAAATTGAACTTTTATGGACAAAATTGATTAATTTGGATTACAATTAAGAATTGGGTATAAATAGTTGAGGGTAATATTGGGATATACATGAATGTTTCCTTTAGTTATAATAAATATTAAAGGGATGGGCTTATTGGTAAAAGAGATATGTCCCCTAAACCTAGAATAATAAACATGCTTGGTTGGGGACTTTTGCATAAAAATCCCTAAAAAAAATATATATATAATATATACATGCAAAATATATATACTCTAACAGGTGAATTTGCATTTGAATTTTGAGCTAAATGATAGTGAATGAGTTGGGAATTGGGAACATTTTTAATTTATTTTAATTTGTGTTTGGTCTTCTAAAAAAAGAAACAAAATAATAATAAAGAAGAAGAAAAGAAAATTGTGTTTGGGTTTCCCTAATCCAAACCATAGACTGGATTCCTTGTACAACACAACAACCTCAAACTTCCCAAAACGGGAAAACAAAACCCTAATTTGGTGGCTTTCATCGTACGACAAGAACCTCGTACGGCCGAACTCATAAACCACCGCCGCCGCCGCTGCCGCTAATGAAGATCGGCAAGGCTGAACAAATCAGCCATCATCTTCCGGAAGAAATCATCGAAGAAATATTGTACATACTCCCAGTAAAATCTCTCTTGAGATTCAAGTGTGTTTCCCCATCATGGCGTTCATTGATCTCCACCAAACAATTCATCGAAACCCATCTCCAACACTCGAAAAAGATCGAATCTTTCACCGACAAAAGAGTCATCTCAACCTGTAAGAACTCTTCGAAATCATCATGTCCAGGCAGACTAAAGGCATGTTCTCTGTCCTCCTTGCTGACCGAACCGATAACCCGCGCCGTTTCTTTCGATTTCTTTCCGATGAATAGTTCGAGAGATATAGTTATCGTCGGTTCATGCAACGGTTTGATCTGCGTTCTAGTCGACGCATGTCGGTTTTTCTTGCTGAATCCTTCGACAAGGGAGTTCAAGGAATTGCCCGACTTCTTTACCGGAACGACATGCCCGAAGAATCTCGGTTCTATTAGTGGATATGGCTTTGGATTCGATGAGAGTAGTTGTGATTACAAGGTTTACGCCGTTTTTTCGATGACATCACCGTACGATCGAGATGTCGGTTTTCCTAGTAAATCCGTGGCGAGAGTGTATAGTTTCAAAACCGATTCTTGGGGAGTTAACGCGTTCTTCGAGGATAGATGGACAATAGGTCAAGGGAAGTTTGTGAGTGGGAAGCTTCATTGGATAAACTATTATAAAACGAAATTGAAATGGGAAATCGTTTGTTTCGATTTGACGAACGAGAGTTTCGGAACCGTGGAACGACCTAGTTGTATGGAGGGTTGTTACATTCCGAGGCTCGGAGTTTTCAAGGGATGTCTTTGTATGTCTTTCGACTGCGCTCTAACCGTCGGGTTCGAGATATTGATTTGGAACGAATACGGGATGGAAGATTCGTGGTCACGATTGTTGACTATATCTTATCTATCCGTTTTTTGAGAACTCTTCATTCACGAGAATGTTTAATCGCGTAACCCCGTTGTTTCTTTTGCCAATTGGCGAGATTCTGTTTACATCCGGATCGGATTTTTTGATTTACAATAAGAAAGACGGGTGTGTTAGGCAACGACACACAATTAACTTTGACCGTGATCGTGTTCATGAAGTGGAGGTCTACACGGAAAGTTTAGTCTCACTTGTACCGGATAATATTGCTTTCTTTTAAAGTTGTTTCTGCTTAGAATCCATAGGTTACTGTTTATTAAAATTAGTCATTTTTTTTAATCATAATTTTTTGCTAAGAGAAGATGTTTCCATGGCTCCATTAACTTTTCCATTTGTGTTTGTGAGATATTGATTTTCAGTAAGGGTATTGACGTCATTACCTATTTATTACTTATTATTTATTGCGGTGGTATTGAAGTGAGAAAGAATTGGTCTTTGTTTTAGCCGCCCCTTTATATATAAGATAATAGTCAGTCCTAGGTATTACTTATTACTTATTTTTTATTAGGATTTATCGACATCCTTCCTCGTATAAAAAACAAGCCCATTCTTCTTCATACAAAACAAAACCGAAAAGTTGAGAGAAAAGTAGAAGCCGATGCAAAGATGTAACACCCTAAATATTTGGAGGGTTCGCTTTGCCCCAGATTGGGAGTTCTTAGAGGGGTGCCTTCGTGCGTATTTCGACTATCCTGAAAATGTTACTATTGGGTAAGATATCGGGAATTGGAATGAGTATGGCGTGCAAGTGATCTTGGGGAATTGGAATGAGTATGGCGTGCAAGTGATCTTGGGCTAAATATGTCACTGTTTCTTATCTATCCGACACTCGGAGGTGTTTATCAAGAATTTCTGATTATTACTTTACCCCGTTGTGTATCTTGCCAAATGACGAGGTTCAATTTGTGTACCGACTGTATGTTTTTGTTTAGAATCCAAAAGACGACTGCTTTAGGAAATGGAACATATAGTTGATTTCGATTGTTTTGGTGAAGCGCAAGACTAAACAGAAAGTTTAGGTGGTGTTTGCAAAATCGTAATTAAAAGCAGAAGTCAGTGATCGTGAATTAAGTTGGGATGAAGTGTTTATTTGTAAAAGTTTGGGGTGTCTGCAATTCAGCAGGAAAATCAACTAAATAAAAAAAAAACATGTGCAAGGGTAATGGAGTTTCCGACCTCGTTACAAGGGTAATGTAGCTTCTGAATTTGATACAAGGGGGTATATGTAGTCATAGTCTTCGAGTTGCTAGCAATATTTTTATTCTGATTTGATATGATATGTTATAGCCAAACCGGCTTATTTTAAGAGAAGCACAAACAAAAACTTGTTTTGCAAACACCTAAAAACAATTATATACATAAAAAAGCTCATAGTTTATTTCAAAAACAATTTTAGCAAACACCACCTTAATCTCACATATACATAAATAACTATAGTTTGCCAAAAGTGATTTTTCATGGAATGATGTTGTTTTGTTCCCTCCGCCCCCCATTTCAAGTCAAGGTTAACGTAGATGCCTCTGGGAAAGGGGAAGTTTGCCCGGGTGGTGGATTTTTCGGAGCCATGGTGTTTCCTTTATTCGCGGTTTCTTGAAGTTCTACGGGCAAGGCACACATATTTTCGCAGAAGCCCAGGCTATTTTAGATGGTTTATGAATATGTCAGGAGATGGGTTTTGCACAAGTTATTGTGGAGTCGGGTTCTAAATTGGTTATCGATATGATTCATCAAGATTGCTCAAGAAAGATGATTGCAAGTGGTGCATACTTATCGTGAGGGGAACATGGTGGCAGATGAATTAGCTAAATCGGCACAAGATCACAAAGAGATGAATCAATATATAGTGATAGCGGATTTGCCTAGTCGTATTAGATCGTTATTAGTCCTAGGAACTCCTCGGTTTCGTAAAGCGTCACGTTGCAAATGAGCTTCAGTGATCGGCTCAGATGGCATGCATGGAAATTTTGGTTGTTTGCAATTTTCAGTCTTGGTGGGGGCAGTTTTGCAATTCCAGCACTCTTATAATTCACATTTTGGACCTTGGTGGGAGTCATCTTGACAATATCAGCACTTGTAGTTTATCTAGAATAGCTCTTTTTAGTTTGTTTCTTTTCCTCCCCTATTTGGGGTTTTGTTGTAGTAGAATAGTTACGTTTTCTCTGACTTTTTATTGCCATTGTAGGGACGCTCTTTTTCCTTATATAGGCCCGCGAGGTTTTATTGATGCCCCAATTTTTTTAAGACAGAAATAATAAAGCTTTTTTGGAAGGGCAAATGGCAAAAATACTCATCACATGGGACTTAAATGCATTTTGGTCCACAAAAAAAAACAGTCTCTCAATTTAGCTCATCCCCATGTCTTTAGTCTAAAATACCCTCAATAATATAATTCTTATCAATTCCAACCATTATACTCTAACTTCCTTAATATTACACATTGACCCCGAATTTAAACAAATATATCACATTAACCCCCAAAAGTTTTTTATTTTTAGAAAATAATTTTTTTTCTGAAATATTTTTTTTTCCGGCCAGATTCCGGCGTTGAAGTTTTTTTTTTTTTTTTTGAAACTTATTTTTTTCCTGAAATTTTTTTTCCGGCCGGTCTCCGGCATTGACTTTTTTTTTTATTATTATTTTTCTTAGAAAAAAAATATTTTAATTAATATTACCGTCTTGGCTACTAAATTACTGCCTCTGACAGTATGTCTCTGACAGTAATATTACTGTTTGGGATAGTAATATTATGAATATTATTTTTCCGAACAGTAATATTATTAATATTAATGTCTAAGACAGTTAAATTACTGTTGGAGACAATAATTTAACATCCAAGGCAGTAATATTAATTAAAATAATTTTTTTTAAGGAAAAAAAAAAGTCAATTAACAGTTAAATTACTGTCTCCGACAGTTAAATAACTGCCGGAGACAGTAATTTAGCAACGAATACAGTAATATTAATTAAAAATATTTTTTTTAAGAATAAAAAAGTCAATTAACAGTTAAATTACTGTCTCCGACAGTTAAATAACTACGGGAGACAGTTAAGAAAAAACAAAATTATAAAAAATAAAAAATAAAAAATAAAAAGAAAAAAAAAAGTCAACGCAGGTCAACGGCGGCGACCGGCGGTCTTCGGTGTTGGCGGGTCAAAATTGAAATTAGGGTTAAAATTGGTTAATTGATGAAATTGGGCTAAATTGGGATGTAAATCATGAAATTGGAGTTAAATTGAGTTTCAATGAATTTGGGGTAATTTTGGTATATATAAAAGGATTTTCCTTATTTGCAAATAAGTTTGAATGGGCTGGATTTATTTGAAAGATAAAAAAGTTGGATGTCCCTCTTTTAATTAAGTGTCATTGTCATGGGCCTATTTGTTATTACCCTTTTTGGAAAAAAGAAAAAGTTAAATATTATTTTGTTTATTAGATTGAATAACTTACACTAGTTTGCCCAATAGTGGATTTCCCATTGATAAAGTTGATTTGATGAAATAACGCTCTTAGTAGTACTTAGAGTAATTTGAGGTTTCAAGTTTGTGAATTAAAAAGGTATTGGAGACCAATTTTACGTGTTTTCCTAGTTTTTAAGTGTTTTCAAAATCAATTTTAGTTTTGCTTAATCTAAAATATGTTGTTTTAACATATATCTCAAAAGTATGTATGAGACTATGAGGTAGCTTATTGTTTATTTTTACTTTTATTTATTTTTATATTTTATGTATATATATTTATTTTAAAGCACTTTTGCCAATAACTATCAATTGTTTTGTACATTCATATGTAACCTAATTATTTTTATCTGAACCTTTTTATTTGGATATTTTAAACATTTCACTGGAATAAGCTAATATTAACTGCTTAACATTGCTTTTCAAAAGTTTTTCATATATCTTGAAATTAATATTTATACTAACTGAGGTTTTTAGTTCGTCACTAAGTCATATATACAATTAAATCTCTATAAATTAATACAACCAAGACAAGTAAAATTCTATTAATTTACCGAAATAATATATTATCGAACTAATAATTTCATATGTTTACAACGAAATAGGGACCGGAAAAAAAATATTATTTAAACAAGATTGTTAATGTATTCATGTATTTTACATATGATTGAGTCTTTGGGTTTCCAACACAGCGTAAAAGAGAAAGGCTTTGAGTCATTGCTATTTGACTCGGACCTGTTCTAAAGGTTCTACTGTATTTCTACCAAAAGAGTCTTGAAATTATAGAGAGAGAAACAATATATGTTAACGACACACTTAAATGTGGCCGGCATATAGAAGTTTCATGAATACACTTGTCATGTTGTAGATCTGCTCATTTTTCTTTCCTTTAATGATTTAAAGTGCACGGTCTATGAAATACTATACCCGGATAAGATTCACCAAGTGTATTTCACTGGGTGTAGCATCAACAAAACTCTTAATATACCATTAATAAATGGGTAAATTACACTTACACCTTTGGAATATGCTAAAATAACTTTAAGATTTTTGTGATATCGATAATTACAACCACCCCCTAAACATTGTTAGAAACTCTAACGGGAAAATGCATTGGATACACTACTCCGATAGATTTCTAAAGGACTATTAGTTTTAGGAAGTGCATTATTCCTCGTGGGATCGATACTCGGACCTTTAATCCACTATATTATTTGTATGATACGTGCACTTGCATAAAGGTATTTCCAACCAAAAATAATATAAATAGAAAATTATATTATATATTTCGAAACTAAAATCGGATCGAAAATCAGATTTTTCGATATTTTATATGCGATTCCAATTCCGTTCAAAAAATAATCGAAAAAATCGGAAGAAAAAAGGGTTCCAAATTCTAATATTTTTTATAGGAATTGACGACAATCGAAAATCCCGTTCAAATTTCCACCCCAGTGTACTGATATTTTTTAGGGTTAAATACAAACTGCACCTCTGACTATCATCAATATCGTACATCCCCTGTACAACAAAATGCG